TAGTCCTTTAAAATTTTTCAAAAATAAAATTCTTATAATCTATTTTCCCAGTTTCTGATTTTTCGGGATAACAAGAGACAAAATTTACAGAATCATGCAGTTTTGGGGGCTCAAATATTTTCAGTGAGGTACCTGTCTGTCCGGTTTTGATGGATTCATTTCAAGCTATTCAACCTGATGACGTGGACAAGATTCTTGGAGCGGTGAGAGCAACCACCTGTGCCCTGGACCCTTGCCCTTCCTGGCTGGTCAAACTCGCCAGTGGGGGATTGGCCGAGTGGATCTTGAAGATCATAAATGCCTCATTGGAACAGGATCATATTCCAACGAGCCTGAAAAGTGCAATTGTGAGACCGTTGCTTAAAAAAGCGTCCCTAGATTCCTCAGTCCTGAACTACCGGCCTATCTCTAACCTCCCCTTCCTGGGCAAGGTTCTAGAGCGGGTGGTTGCTATAAAGATCCGATAAATCAGATCTCACTCGCTGCCACCAATTATATAGACCGGATCAAAAATGGATTTCACCAGCTGCCAGGTCAAATATGTAACAATCACCGTTCAATAGATAGACACCCAATGTGTAGAGCAGCCAGTAATTGTTAAGGGCTAACCAGATTTATTGGGCTTTTTACTCATGAAAGAACTTTTTTTATATTTAATACAGAGAAACATAAACTGAGTAAGTTATGGCTGTAAAACTACTGATGACTAAGAATTGTTGAAACTGTTTCTTCTGCTTGTCTGACGCTTTTCTACCTTTAGAATTGAGGAAACCCAGCAACAGAATCTTTTGTGTTGCAATGCAGTTTGTTCTTCAGAGAGATAAAATGTTTATCTAAAGTATTCACACATAGTCTGTGGTAGTGTGAAAATAGAATGAAATGTTTATTAAACAATCTTGAAAAATATTTCAGGTACAGAATGCTTGTTGGTTTCCTTAAAAATAGTGCAGTGCTTGAATTAAATTCCAGTTACAACTTTCAAACTGAGAATTTATATCTTCCCTTAGAATAGATTCTTCCCTACAAACAGCCCAAACACAGGGTCTGTCTAGAACCAGTTCTTCTTCTGAAGTAACTATCTAAATCTATTTCTAAGTTAGACTTCTCACTAAATCTTCACTGCTATTCTTCAACTACAACGGCTCTCTCTAACTCTTCATTCCAACTCTCTCCTCAGGATTTTTTAAAACGCTCCTTTTTTCCTCTCAGCTTCTCCTAAACTCCGCCCCCTTTCTCTACACCAATCCCGGCCATTCCCTGCCATCTAATGCCTAAGACACGCCCCCTGCTCTGAACTACACTCAAGATGGCGTCTCCCTTCTCCAAAATGGCTGCTGATGCTTCGCCTTGCCCATTCCCTATCTTTCTAGGCTTACAGGCTTTTCCTGGCCCTGCATCCTGGCTGTAACTAAGGTAAGGGTTCTTCACAGTTGCCTCCCAAATCCAGAGATTCTTGGACGACACCGATTATCTAGATCCATTGCAGTCTGGTTTTAGACCTGGCCATGGCACTGAGACATCTTTGGTCGCCTTGGTGAATGACCCCCAAAGAGAACTGTACAATGACCTCCAAAGAGAGCCTGAGGGCTGAAAAGAGCGGTATACAAATGAAGCAAATAAATAAATAAAACTTGGCAGGGGGAGTGTGTCCCTGTTGGTTCTCCTGGATATCTCAGTGGCTTTCAATACCATCGACCATGGTATCCTTCTAGGGCAGCTCTCCAGAATGGGTCTTGGGGCATTGCTCTGCAGTGGCTCCACTCCTTCCTGGAAGGTGGCTCCCAGTTGGTGAAACTGGGGGATACCTGCTCGGACCTGTGGCCTTTAACTTGTGGGGTCCCGCAAGGTTCCATTCTATCCCGCATGCCTTTTAATATCTACATGGAACTATTGGGTGAGGTCATCCAGAGTTTTGGAGTTGGGTACCATCTGCATGCAGATAACACCCAACTCTACCACTCATTTCCACCAAACTCCAAGGAAGCCTCCCAGACCCTAAACCAGTGTCTGACTGCTGTGATGGACTGGATGAGGGCTAACAGGTTAAAGCTTAATCCAGACAAGAAAGAGGTCCTCCTGGTCAGTCGTAGGGCTGACCGGGGTATTGGGTGGCAACCTGTGCTTGATGAGGTTACACTCCCCCTGAGGGTGCAGGTCCATAGCTTGGGGGTCCTCCTGGACTCCATGCTGTCACTTGATGCTCAGGTGTCGGCGGTGGCTGGGAAGGCCTTTGCACAACTTAAACACGTGCACCAGCTGTGACCACACCTTGTAAAGTCTGACGTGGCCAGCATGGTCCATGCCTTGGTCATGTCCAGATTGGACTATTGCAATGCGCTCTACATGGGGCTGCCCTTGAAAATGGTCCAGAAGCTCCAACTGATACAACGGGCAGCAGACAGGCTCCTTACTGGAGCAAACGCCCCTTTTAAAACAGCTTCACTGGCTGCCAATAAGTTGTCGAGCCAAATTCAAGGTGCAGCTTATGACCTATAAAGCCCTAAAAAATTCAGGCCCCGCCTATCTTCGCGATCGCATCTCCCTCTATGAACCAGCATGAACTTTAAGATCTTCCAGGGAGGCCGTCCTTTTGCTCCCACCACCATCACAAGCATGGTTGGTGGGGACGAGAGAGAGAGCCTTCTTGGTAGTGGCCCCCCACCTCTGGAACACCCTTCCTGGAGAAATAAGACAGGCCCCACCCCTCCCCTCCTTTCATAAGAGCCTGAAGACCTGGTGGTTTAAACAAACCTTTGAGAACAACTAGTTCCAGCTCTGCCCTAGATACTGTTGAAATTGAACATATCTTTTTCTACCAATTACCCAGGTCACTTTCTTCTGGAAATGTACAGCCATAGACTCTACCTAATTTCCTGGGCCCTCTAAAATCGCACTAGCCTAGCCCGGCTTTTTGAACTGCCTTGATCAGGCAGGATTATTTTAAATATATGTGCTATTGTGGTTTTTAATGCTTATATCATCTTGTTAATTTTATGTTTATGCTGTTTTCTTTGTATGTATTGATTATGTTACTTGGAAACCGCTCTGAGTCCCCTTGGGGAGATAGAGCGGTATATATATAAAGTTTTGTTGTTGTTTGTTGATAAAAGAGGTTTTCCTGTTCTCACACATGAAACTAAGGAGAACATGGTCCAATTCAGATTTTCATCTGAAATTTTATGGAGCAGGGATGGAAATGCATTGCGTGCTGGATGTTGTTGAAGATCATTGTCCAGCATTCTTCATCATTGACTATGCTGCACAGAACTGCTAAGAAATGCAAATCAACATCTGCATGCAGAAGATAGGAAAAGGAGTATTATTGGATACAAAGAGGTAATTCTACACCACCAGATTAGAAAAACCTCGATAGCACTTTAGTTTCTCAAGAAGAAAATACTATGGCATTTGTCACCCAACTCATTAATGCCAGGATTTCATAAAACAAAGTCATATTCGCTAAAGTGACATTAAACTAGTATCATTCAGTCAATTATAGTCATGAATTTTAAACTTGTGTCATGTGTTCGCTATATTTTAATCTTTGTTCTGTGTCATTTAATATATGTGTTTGTAGAAAAAAAATGTGTATTTTCTATTATCTTTATGATGATTATGTGTTTTAACTATGTTGTAACTTTGAGCCATGAGGAGAAGCAGGTAAGGAATAGAAAAAAATATGCTATTTGACTAGTATTAAACAGACCACTATCCACTGATCCTATCCTACATGAGTTTGACGGATCTGAAAAAGACACCACTATATGCAGTTAGGTTAAGGCCACATGATTTTAACTGACGTTTTAATAATTGATGTTTTAACAGCATCCACCCAAAAATCCAATTCACAATGGAAAAAGAAAATGGAAAAAGAAAATGAAGGAAGACTGCCTTTTCTAGATGTCCTAGTTATCCGCAAACCAGATCAACAATTGGGTCACACCGTCTACAGAAAACCCACACACACAGATAGATATCTACATAAAAACTCCAACCATCACCCAAGTCAAAAAAGAAGCACCATTAAAGCCTTGGCAGACCGTGCAAAAAGAATCTGCGAACCCCACCTCCTCCAAGATGAACTGAACCACCTCAACTGGGCTCTCCAGGCCAATGGATACTCCACCTCAGACATCAGAAGAGCTGCAAGACCACAAACAAGCCACGAGAGTAAAGATGAAGATCCACCCAGAGGAAAAGTGTTCCTGCCATACATCAAGGGAACCACTGAGCATAGGGAAGCTGATGAGGAAACACAACATACAAACAATCTACAGACCCACCAAGAAAATCCAACAAATGCTACGTTCAGCAAAGGACAAGAGGGATCCTCTCACTTCTGCAGGAGTCTACCGTGTACCATGCAGCTGTGGACAAGTCTACAGAGGGACCACCAAACGCAGCGCCCAAACAAGAATCAGGAACATGAAAGGCACTGCAGACTACTTCCACCAGAGAAGTCAGCCATAGCAGAGCACCTGATGAACCAACCTAGATAATATTTGAGAACACAGGAATGCTGGACCACTCTCACAACCACCAGAGAAGCCATTGAAATCCACAAGCATGTGGACAATTTCAACAGAAAGGAGGAAACCATGAAAATGAACAAAATCTGGCTACCAGTATTAAAAAACTCTAAAATTACAACAGCAAAACAGCAGAGAGGAAACAACCAGGCACATCTTAACACCTCTCAACAAAAGATTTTCCCAGGCTCAGCCAGGCCTTCAAATGCTAATGAAGGTGGTCAGTTGAAACATTCACACCTAGCTCCAGCAGAGAAGAGCTCTTTGCCCCACCCCAGCCATCCCACAGATATATAAACCCATTGTCCAAATTCCAACAGACCTCACTACCTCTGAGGATGCTTGCCATAGATGCAGGCGAAACGTCAGGAGAAATGCCTCTAGAACATGGCCCTATAGCCCGAAAAAACCCACAAGTACCTGATGTTTTAATTGTTGATTTTAATTATAATCGTTTATTTGATACTTGTATATATGACATCAAATTGTTGCCTGTTGTCAGGCTACCTTGAGTTCTCTCCAGAGTGAGAAAGATGGGATGGGATATAAATATGGTAAATAAATAAATAAAATAATAAAATCTCCACTCACCATTTAGGTTGGTGTGTGGTTCGATCAGTCCTGCAGTGGCTAAACACTACACAGGACTGATCTGAATTAATCTGGAGGAAAGCCGCTTAACCCTGGGGAAACTAACTCAGAGTAAATCCCAAATTCTGAAGCGGAATTTGGGTTGCCCTCCATATTAGAAACTGTTGAAGTAGCTGGGCTGGTTCCCTAGCAGCCATTTCAAACTCCCCCATGGTCATTTTACTACATTCCTGGATATAAAAAATGCAAACCTTCCCATGTTTAGATTCTATATTACTGGGCTGAGTTTTATCTAAATTCTGGTACTATTTGCCTCATTTGCTTTAATGCCAATTTCTAACTCCTGTAAGTTGTGGGCATATGACTCTCAGACTGCACTTTCCCCATACCTACTGTAGCTTATAAGCTTTCAATACAATTTTTCCTGTAAACCCTGAGCAGTTAAATTTTAATAAGTCAGTATGTTAAAGTAATGTTTAACCTTAAATAAAAAGCTCATCAGATAAAAAGAGCATGCACTATCGCATTCCTCCTTTCTGTTCCTATTTAACAGGGACCTTGGGCATTTCTTGACAAGACGTATACTTATTGCTTCTGTGTCAGCTAATTCCTTTTCACCTACCTATAAAATAATTCCTGCAGAATTGCTCTGGAATGAACTGGAGTTCTGACTGTATATTGAGGTCACATTTGGTTTTCTTGGATATATAACTGATAAATCATGGAGAAGTAGTTCTTAGCTTGCTTTGGAGAATAATTTAAGTTACAAAACAGGCAAACAAAACGTGACTCAGGGCCTGCTATAAGCACAATGACCAGCTTCATCCATCCTGAGGTTACAAATTTTGTTGCCTGGGACTATGTTGTCTTTGCTGCCCTATTTCTCATTTCCTCTGGAATAGGAGTCTTTTTTGCAATTAAAGACAGGAAAAAAACAACTTCTGGGGACTTTTTAGTAGGCGGACGGCAGATGACTTGTGGACCAGTAGCCCTGTCTCTCACTGCCAGTTTCATGTCTGCAGTGACTGTGTTGGGAACTCCAGCTGAAGTGTATCGTCATGGCTCTGCCTTCATTCTCTTCTCCATAGCATATACATTTGTCATCATTTTTACTTCAGAACTTTTCCTGCCTGTATTCTACAGATCTGGAATCACAAGTACTTATGAGGTAAGGTTGCTTTCAGATATATCTATAGATAGGAAAATAGATAGACAGATAGATAGATAGATAGATAGATAGATAGATAGATAGATGTACAGTATACCCTCCATTTTTGAGGGAACTAGTGAGTGCAGTAGTTCTACAAAAGTAGGGAAAGCAAAATTTAAAAATGCAAATTGCCATCTGCATGCAGAAGATAGGAAAATGAGCATTACTGGATGCAAAGAGATAATTCTACATTGCCAAATTCATAACACCTGGATAGCACTTTAGTTTCTTGAAAAGAAATACTTGAAACATTGACTGTCTAGGAAGTTGATAACAGAATCATGGTGGAATATCCAGAAATTCACGTTCTCTTTGGGAATATCTAGGTCCTCCAGCATAACTCTATGGCAAACCTCTTGCCAACGTTGACCAGAGTAGCCTCAGAGAACCTAGAGATTCCAAAAGAGAGAACATATTAATTAAATCTGCAAATAACCAAATCCACAAAAATTAAATCCACAAATCTGGAAAGCTGCCTGTGTGATATATAGCTATCCTTGGGTTTTGAAGCCCACTTATACTCAGGCACCTTAAAGACAGTTTGACATTTTGGAATTTGTTTTATGGGCAAAGGAATGGAGAGTGAATTTGAATATCTGCGATAAGGCAACTACTGTATATACTTGATTATAAGTTAAGTTTTTCAATCCTTTTTAAGGCTGAAAAAGCTCCCCTTGGCTTATATTCGATTCAAAGTTATTTATTATTTTACTCTATTATTATTAAATTTACACATTTTACTTTATTGTTACATTTATTATTTTATTCTGTTATTATTATTATTATGATTATTATTTCTATTACATTTATTATTTTATTCTGTTATTATTATGATTATGATTATTTCTATTACATTTATTATTTTACTTTATTATTATTATTACATTTATTCTTTTACTCTATTTTTGTTATTACATTTATTTTTTTATTGTTACATTTACATTATTTTATTCCATTTATTGTTATTATTACATTTCTATTATTTTACTATATTATTATTATTATTATTATTATTATTGCATTTATTCTTTTACTCTATTTATTATTATTGGAAGGGCACGTAAGCACATTTACATTGAAGAAGGTTAGAATAGGTTTAATCGGAGTTGGACAGTCTCATCTTAAATTACATTTTTATGCAAATATTCAAAAACGTTTAACCTACTGGTGCCTCAATTAATGCAATTTTATAGGTATCTATTTTTATTTTGAAATTAACCAGTAGCTGATGCATTTCCCACCCTTGGCTTATACTCAAGTCAATATGTTTTCCCAGTTTTTTGTGGTAAAATTAGGTGCCTCAGTTTATATTTGGGTCAGCTTATACTCTGGTAACACTACTAACAGTTTATGAAGATGTGTAATTAAGGTCACTCCCTTTCCCTGCCTATTCTGACCATTATCTGACTTTTTTTTGTGAATATGAAAATGTTGAATATTGTATGCTCTGCTTTGTTGCCTGAATATGTACAGAACTGAAGAGTCTCCTGTTTGTAATAAATGAAGCAATAGTTAGATTTCATAAAGCAATTACATTGTCAATAGTGGTGGTGCTGGTGAGGGTCATTAGGACTAAAATTATTTTGCTCCTTCCCCCCAGCCCTACCTTCTACATAATAGAGAACAGAGAGTTGCTGAATTTTGTACTAGCTTTCTGAAGATTGGATCAGGGAGCATCAAGACTATTGACTCAGCTGAAATTAGAGCTGAGTGTCAAAACAGAAAAATTACCAGAACACAGTGTATAACTCTTGTGACCTGGATGTAAGAAAGACAAGCTAGAGCTGTCTTCCACCTAGTGAAATTTGCACTTTAATAATTTGATGGTATAGCCTTAGTAACAGGTGGTAATAATAATAATAATAATAATAATAATAATAATAATAATAATAATAATAATTTATTTGTATTTTGCCCCATCTCCCTGAGGGACTCAGACAACTCAAATACTTGTTTAAAATTTGGATGTGGTAAAGGTGTAATTATCTCATAAATGAAACCAGCTAATTGTGTGTGTGTGTGTGTGTGTGTATATATATATATATAATACAATTTTAGCATGTTTCATGAGATGGAAATATATGTCAGATACCTTTTAAAAAAGAATCTAAATCAAGCCTATAGAATATAGCAAGATGGAATGCTCTTTAATGTTGTCTGAAGTCTTGAAGTGATTACAGAGATCCCACATTTGACAAAAAAAATGTTTTTCTTACATCTCTTTAGAAACATTATTGCAAAGGTTAGATAGAAGAGATGTGATTTTGGACTCATAATAACCATGCTGGTTGGGGGATTCCAGTTGTACTTTACTTAGTTTCAGAAAAGACACTTTGCTAAATCATTCATTGTTAGCAAGGCAGGCTGGAGTATAGATTGCATAATTAGAGAAAAGGAGGAAAGCTAAGGACAAACAGGGCAAAGATAGATATGGAAGAGCTACCCAATCAAATTGGGCAACATGGCCCAAGGGCAAGGTTTAACAGATTACCACAGAAATGAGGCACACAGGAGCTGTTGACTAGACAGCTGCCTTTGGGAACGAGTCCATCTTTTTCTGTATTGGGAAGGCAGAATTAATCCTCCATTTAAGTAGCTTGTGGACAATAGATAACATTTTTATGTAATTGGAATCAATATTTTTAAACTTCTGATTTCATAAAAATGATTAGGGGTGGAAATCTGGGACTGAAAAGAAATGACTGTGTCCAGATGCCCACCTTCGCATAGCAATGCTAGTTAATTAAAGGGAATTAAATTACAGTGATTTAAGGTAAAGAACGCACAATGTTTTAGGGTAAGTGTAAGGAAAATGCAGCCTGCAGGTTGTGTGTGGATAGAAGGGATCCATTTCTTGGCCTTCAAAGTGCCTCTGAAACTCCCCAAAGCTCCGGATCAAAACTATTTTGTTTGGGTGATTTTTATCCGGAACATGAAAAAGATCCGAAACCACAAAATATAATTTAACTATTGAAAACCCATCAAAGATATCTCATACCTTAAATCCAAAACCCCAAATTTGCCAAAATGAAAAATGGAAGTGACATGACATCACTTCTGGTCATGTGAGATACACCGTTTTGCTTGCAGGAGTACCATGCAGAAAATGCCCCCATACCCTCTGCAATAGCCGATGACTGGCATAATGGTGTGATGATAGCCAGAGGTTTGGGAGATGCAAGTTGAAGTTTCAATCCTGGGCATCTAGGTCAGTTAGTATTTGTCAAGCTAACATGCCAATGTGATAGTAAATCCATTTTGGATTTCAATCCAAACTTTTAAAAGAATGTCCGAGGTGCTGCACCTACTTTGAGGGTACGGCTGGATCTATACTGCCCTATATCCTAGGATCCGATTCCAGATTATCTGTTTTGAATTGGATTATATGGTCTACATTGTCAGATAATCTGGGATCAGATCCTGGGAAATAGGGCAGTATAGATCCAGCCTGAAATATTGTATAGTTTGGACTAAAAATAATGTGTAACTTCTCCTTGACACACAAACAATCTACAGCCACTGGAGAAGGCAGTTATCCTTGGATTCTGCCCACGCCATTGAATCTAATGGTGGCTAACAATGTAAGGCTGTTAGATGACTCCTTGGAGGATGTTTGAGAGAAATCATGAGGGCTCAATCAACTGATGTAGTTCTTGGAGTCAGAGTTGGGAACATTCATTGATTCCATTCTATTTCTAGCCTGCCCTTCTTCCAATCATCCCAAGGCACAGGGTTTCCCAATTGAAATATGTGGAGGGCTTCCGTATCTTTAATGTTTGTGTAGAAGAGGACATTTTTTCTGGTGTTGTCTGTCATCCAGTCGGGTAACAAGCAACTACTGTTGAGATTCCGTAGGTCGGCAAATTGTATACTGTGAATATGTTTTTGCTCATGGTGAAACTCTGTTAGTAAAGTACAGCTGTGGCCCTTTTCAATTCCATGTGTTTTTTCAGATCTTCATTCCAAAGTTGGCAGAAATTATTAATTTGATTTCCAACTGTTCCAATTTGGGATGATTGTGTTGACCTACAAACTCATAACCACTTGGGGCCAGGATATCTGAAAGACTCCATCTTCCCATAAAAGTCTTTCCAAAATGTGAGATGTTTGGAGGAGGCCTTATTGCATGCTCCACACCTTGTGAGGTTAGCTTGGTGTATACACAAAACAAGACTTTCTCTGTAGCAGTGCCTCAACCATAAAACTCCCTACCTAAGGGATGTAGTTTTGCTCCATCTTTTTAATGCTTCTGGCAGTTATCCAAAACAGTGTTTTAAATTGCTGCTTGAATTGTTTTAAAACTGGAATCTAGAGTTGTTTTTACATTGCTTTTAGGGGATTTAAAATATTATTTTAATGTTTTTTAATTTTTAAAATCTTTTAAATGATTTAATTGGTTTGTATCTTTTCATAGCCTCAACAGCCATTGTAGGATGGAAGGCAATACAAAAATACTGTAAATAAAAATAATAAATAATGTTTTAAAGAATATAAGAAATGCCTTTTAACAGTGATTAACAGACCTACCTTTTGACTAATGTAATGCAACAGCCAGCATGGAATGACCTATGCTCTTCATCTTTTCTTGTAGTATTTGGAGCTGAGGTTTAACAAACCTGTTCGCATTGCTGCAACCCTGATTTACATAGTACAGACGGTAAGACATGCTCTTCATTTATATGCCCTAATTTTTAATATACCTTGGAGGTCTGTCACAAGTCATTGTCCTCTATGTATGGAGATTTTATTTTGTAGGCATCAGCCTGTTGTATGGCACACCTGACATATGTGGCAGGATTTGGTTTATGTAGCCTCATAATGGAACACTAGGAAGCTTCTTCACATTTGGAGTCTGGATTAACATATGAAAGTGAATCTTTTTGATTTTAACATCATTGAATTTGATATGACTGTAGATTGTTCTCTTTCTGGGATTTATTTACTTTGGGGGCTGAGAAGTGACAGGATAGAAATGCGGGAAATAAATAAATATCTAGATATTTCCAACCTGTTTTGTGTCAATCAACAAAACCACACATAAACATTAGGGTCATGCCACTAATTCAGGAATCCTGTTTCCTGCATGGAACTTAGTCAATTTGGATTGATTTGGACCTGGTCGAGAGTGCACTAGTGTGCTGTATTGAGTTCTGGAATGTACTGGCACAATCCCCAGCAATTTGGAGCATGTCAAATATTCATTGACCAGAAATAAACAGGCTCTCCATCATTCATGTAAATGTTTATTCAAACATGTGGGCCATGGTGGCACAATGCGTTAAACCCTTACACTGCTGTAAACTGCTGACCTAAAGGTTGGAACTTCGAATCTGCAGGATGGGGTGAGCTCCCACTTTCAGCCCTAGCTCCTGCCAACCTAGCAGTTCAAAATCTTGAAAATGTGAGTAGATCAATAGGTACTGCTTTGGTTGGAAAAGGCAAAAGATGCTCCAGGCAGTCATGCTGGCCACAGATGTAGGCTCCTCAGCTTGGAAATGGAGAAAGGGCACCTCCAGCAGAGTTGGAGATGAGCACCACCTCCAGAGCTGGAAATGAAAGAAGACTTTGCCTTTGTCTGTGTATTTGTGTCTCATTGTATGTCATGATAACAAGGCATTGAATGTTTGCCCATTTCTGTTTATATACTGTGACCCACTCTGAGTCCCCCTGGGAAGAATGGTGGAATATAAATTGTTGTTATTATTATTATTATGAGGAGACAGGAAAGCCTAGAGAAGACAATTATGCTGGGGAAAGTGGAAGGCAAAAGGAAGAGGGGCCGACCAAGGGCAAGATGGATGGATGGCATCCTTGAAGTGACTGGACTGACCTTGAGGGAGCTGGGGGTGGTAACGGCCGACAGGGAGCTCTGGCGTAGGCTGGTCCATGAGGTCACGAAGAGTCGGAGACGACTGAACGAATGAACAACAACAACAACAACAACAACATTATTATTATTATTATTATTATTATTATTATTATTATTATATTAGGTATGCCTTCTAATTACACATCAGGAAAATGCCAAGGTGGTATGAAACAGAGAGGGGGAAACAGAACTGAGTCACAGTCCTAACATACAATTACAATTCAAAATAAAAATCGTAGTAACATTTTGCAATCATAGCGCGTATGGAGAGAGACTGTGAACAGTTTGAATCAATGGCTGATACCAAATGAGAGACTCCCTCCTTGGCACACAGAAAACTGGGCGACTTGGAAGGCTCTGAACAGACTGCGCTCTGGCACCACAAGATGCAGAGCCAACCTTAAGAAATGAGGTTACAAAGTGGAGTCCATGACATGCGAGTGTGGAGAAGAGAAAACCACAGACCACCTACTGCAATGCAACCTGAGCCCTGCCACATGCACAATGGAGGACCTTCTTGCAGCAACACCAGAGGCACTCCAAGTGGCCAGCTACTGGTCAAAGGACATTTAATAGAATACCAAGTCTGCAAACTTTGTGTTTTGTTAGTTTGTTTGTCTGTTTTTTAATGCAATACAACTGTTTTGGTTTGCTCCTGACACGATAAATAAAATAAAATAAATAATTAGATAGAGGAAAGTCTAACATGATTTCTCATAGTTGAACATAAAATACTGAATATTATATTACAAATTAGGGTGGGGCATGATGAGTTGAATGATAACACATGAGAGAAGCAAGCTCTGTTTGAGAAAAAAAACTGTGAGATGGAAGAAAATGTCTTTCACCTGCCTTCTCCCTGTCAGTATTAGCCAATGAAAAGATATATTTTCTGAAATACTGTGCAACAGAGCTTCCTCATGACATTTTCCCCCACTTTCTGTTACAGTTTTTTTCCTATAGATAACTCTTGGATTACAATGCATTTAGGTGAGAATTTTTTCTCTTCTTTCACAGATTCTTTACACTGGAGTGGTAGTCTATGCACCAGCTTTGGCTCTCAACCAAGGTGAGTGTCCACATTACTATGCCAGTTATTTTTGTTGCAGCCCCAGAGAAATGTGAAGCAAACATCATCTTCTCTATCTGGATGCTGTCCAGTCCCCTTTCTCTACCTAGGACTGTGTTATTTATTTGCTCAGTTTTTCTTTTAGTAAAAAGTAATTGAGGAGCTATGTACTCAAGGTCCTGGCTAGGTGCCCAGTTGAGTGTAGTGATCTAAGACCGGGAATGTATTTCAACACTTTCTACCCTTCAGCCTTCTGTTCTTATCTCATATGTACTTTGAAGGTTGAGGTTCCTTTATCTGTTAACTTGATGTCCCTACTAATTGTAAATGTATACAGTCTGACATGGCACCACTTTGATTCTGAGTAAATTTGTTCAACATTATTCAACATACTTCATCAGTTAGAGAAAAAAAACATTTTTCCTCATATTGTTCTCTTCATCAGAAAAGAAATGTGAAAATCTGAAAAGCTTGCACACATTATTAGGGCTCTTTGCTTGACCTATTGAAATTATTAAAGTAATGTACATTCTGGATATATATATATATATATATATATATATATATATATATATATATACCTCATTACCTTTCATTTTGCATCAGCTTCTGAAAGAAACGTATGCAAATTGTGCACCTTTTTCAAAGATAAATTAATTTCTGTTCTCAAAGCATAAACAGAGATGAAAAAAGTAAAAGACCTACCATGTTTTAAATTATATCTGAAAGCTAATATAGTGCTTCGACATGGCTTACATATAATTTGATCTCTTTGGGTTTTCAGTGACTGGATTTAATCTTTGGGGCTCTGTATTTGCGACAGGAATAGTCTGTACCTTCTACTGTACATTGGTAAGTATGTAACTATAGTTCAACTTAAAATGATCATGGGAAGAATCTTCTAGTTAGGGTTCATCTTATTAGTGGAGCCCCCGGTGGTGCTGTGGGTTAAACCCCTGTGCTGGCAGGACTAAAGACCGACAGGTTGCAGGTTCGAATCTGGGGAGAGGCGGATGAGCTCCCTCTGTCAGCTCCAGCTCCTCATGCGGGGACATGAGAGAAGCCTCCCACAAGGATGATAAAAACATCAAATCATCCAGGCGTCCCTGGGCAACGTCCTTGCAGATGGCCAATTCTCTCACACCAGAAGCGACTTGCAGTTTCTCAAGTCACTCCTGACACGACCAAAAAAAAAATCTTACTAGTGCATATCAGTGATTTGAAACTGAAGAACGCTTCCATGTTTTACTGTGGAATAACGAAAAATTTTATAGTTTCAGAATATTATTATTATTGTGAAGCCACATGGACCAGGACAGTTGAATTATCACCATGAAATAAAGAAGCCAGACACAAGAACATGGATTTGTTTACTATAACTTGTTTACACATTTATTTGTTTACTGTAACTTCTAGGAGAAACTGTAAACTAAAATAATCTGTAAGGGGAAAGAATGTGAATGAAAAATAACATTTTTTGTTGTCAGCCATCTGGCAGGTAATGTCCTTTGGGCAGGTGTCACCTTTTATCACCACCTCCAAGGACCGTCCTTGTACTAGCACCATAGATCCCAAGGGCCTCCTCAAAATGTTTGACTGCACACCTCAACTGATCTTAAGTGGAGGGCCATCCTGAGAATGCTTCCTCCCAAACCTCAGAGTTTTTTAAAAGTGATAAACTCTCATTATAGCCCCAAAGGGGAAATCCTCCCCCCATTTACAGCCCATTGAGCCACAAAACCTAGAGAGACTGTTATGGAAGTCCATCCTTTGCCATGGTGCCTAGCAGGACTTTTACATGCAGTGACAACCTATTTAAATAACAGCACCCTAAGCCAATTTCCACACTCAGCTAAAATAGTATAGGGTAGGGAAAAAACCCCAAGGAACTCTTGAAGGGAAAAAATTATATGTGGCCATAATGCGACCAATTTGCAATCACACTGTTCATAGGGCGGGTAACATGCAGAGTCAGGGTGTGTGTGTCAGCCTTAAATAGGCTCAGATCCAACCCTTGCCATATGAAGGGGCTGGTGAAGCCAGCAGACCCTAACCAAAGTTGGTCACCTTCACAGGGGTCTTCAACTACCCGCTCCCCCACGCCTCATGGGATTGCCCTTTGGCTGCAGGTGGGGAAATTCTTTACATCAGATTAAAAGTGATACATGATTGATTTCTTTAAAGCTTCTGAGCAGAAGCTACTCTGCAGTTTTTAACCATTATCCAAGGTTCCAACTTTATTCACATTTTCCAGGGATTACATTACAATAGTGAAATGAGTAAAATATAAATGCATTGTTGTTGAGACAAATGAGTAGATGCCTTTCTCTTCTTGTGCAGTAGCATAGTAAATTATCTGAACATAACTGATAGCCTTTTGTCTCAACCAATCATTAATAGTTAGGATTAGTGTTTAATTGTAGTAAAAGTTTGGGCACATCCCATTGACAGGAAATCAAGTGTTGAAGCGTAACTATTTTAAACTACACAAACATCACATTATGATTCCTCTGTAACTGCCATGACAACATCCAGAAATTTGTTATCTCCTTGAACACTAGTGTTCATTGCTAATATTCCTCTCCTAAACTGCACTTTCTGGGATTCAATTGGATATTGCTGTGGCAGTGAAAGTGAAGACACCAGCTATTGAGAGCAATGGTTGTGAATGTATGTGTGTAAAATGCAGAAAACAGTCAAAATCAGGAGTTGTATTGTCGAAGGCTTTCATGGCCGGAATCACTGGGAGTTACTGGTGGTTTTCATGTCAGTTGAATCAAGAATCTACTCTAACTTTGTAGGAGCTATCCAACATGTTAATTCTCATACACCAAACAGGCTCAGAACCTTGAATAGATTACTTAAAATTCAGACTAAAACACAGAGCTGATTCTTATTTCACCTAATAGAAACCATCTGCCAACATGAGTAGAAAATTGTTCCATATGAAAGAAGGCAAGAGGGAATTTGCACAGAGAATTCTGCACATGCAATGATAATTTTGTAAAGACAGATGTCTGAATAGGAGCTAACTAATAGAAATAATAACAGGAACTTGTTGAGTACTAAATACTGAAAGAGGTTCTTTTCTATTCTTCTGTTACTAACTCAAACTTAAGATACATTCTTGTTTGTTTGTTTGTTTTTCTTTGATATAGGGAGGATTAAAAGCTGTTGTCTGGACAGATGCCTTTCAACTGGTTGTTATGCTCATTGGGTTCTTAACTGTTTTAATTCAAGGAACTCTTCAGAATGGGGGCCTTACAAACATTTGGGAAATTGCTGAAAATGGATCACGCCTCAATGTATTTGAGTAAGCAGAATGCTACCTGACATTAAGATCAATGATCTTGTTTATTGCATATGGATTAAGAAAATGTTCTTTTTAAATGGCAGGAAAGGGAATTTGTTACTGGAAGGAAATAACAGAATAGTCACCATCTTCTTTGTTCAGAGGCAGATTTATCAATCTTCACACAGCTTATGCAAATATGGGGTTAGCATAAATATGGGGTTCCCCTTCACAAAGGAAGGGGCAAGTTTTATCTGTTGATTTGTGAAAACCATTGGGAGGCAGCATTAGAAGGTCCAGGAGATATAAACACAATATTTTTCACTTCTCCAGATTGAAATTGTAGTTCCAGTTCTTCAAAAATGTAAAGGTGGTTTTTTTTTGCCCCAAATTCTCAGCGAAGTGGCATGGCCCCAGGGGCTGTGTGAAGAGATCTCAGATGTTATAAGAGCTACTAAAAGCTCTGGTCCTCATCCAACCTCAAAAGTTCAGCACTTTAGATAGTTCTTTTACAGTTAGGAATACATTCTGTGTGAATTCACAGTCCTACTGTCATAGATGTTACTAGTCACCACTGAAATATATGCCCTAACCTAGAAGTTTAATTAATGATTTAATTTCCCTTGTGTTCCCTTTATGCAGCTTTGATATTGATCCCTTGAGAAGACACACATTTTGGACAATTGCAGTGGGAGGAACATTTACCTGGTTAGGAATCTATGGAGTAAATCAGTCTACCATACAAAGATGCATTGCCTGCAAAACAAAAGTGCATGCTAAGCTGTAAGTACTCCTGCAGAGGTATTGTAATATGGAACAGAGCCACATTTTAAAAAGAGTGCAACAATTTATATATACCTATTTGTTCAGTGGTGGCAGCATGTACTAAAAGACAGCCTATAGCTAGTTGTTAATTTTAATATTGAACTATAGATAATCATGCATGCTCATGTTTCATTCTGTGCTTTCTGTTGCAAATATGATTGTCACTGAATAATAGGTTTAACTACTGCTGGTAGTGTGAAGAGCAGGTGCCTATCTCAAACAACTGAGTACATCAGAAGTGAGCAATATTTGCAGGTTTGGGGCTAAATTTTCAACCTATCGAGCACATGCTGTTGGTCACATTGGATGCTAGAATTCAGGAAAGCTGAAAAAACGTGAGGAAATTAAACCAGGAAGTAATTGAACATCTCCTTCCATTTTATCTTTTTTATGTATGAGAGGCTATTTTGCTTGGAGGTGGGCATGATCTGTGTAATTATGAAAACATCACTCCTGGAAGACTATAGATATATAAAAAATAACCCATTTTGTCTTCTCTAGGAGATATAGGTGGCTCCAGAGAGCTCAAAGTCTGGAGAAAAACTTGACATACTGCTTGCTGATTATGAGCCACTCTTTGCCTGATACTCAACCCTACTGTACATATATTGGGATGCTTTGTTTTGCAATCCATACTCAGAAACACTCATATCCTTGGATTTTTAATCATACTTTATGGGTTGCCTTTGAAAAATCTGTATAATCTATATACCTGAAGCCAACATTATTCCCTCAGTTTTTAAGAAAGGTGCTGCAAGCGTTTTGGACCACATGTTCACATATACAAATAAACCTGTTTTTCCTATCTACTGATTGATCAATCGATCCACTGTCTTTCTCCCAGCACAGGATTCATAGTAAATAACTTTCATCTGCTCTTTTTCTCTTTCTTTAGAGCATTATATCTTAATTTACTGGGTCTGTGGATTATCCTGGTATGTGCTGTCCTTTGTGGATTGGTGATGTATTCCCATTTTAGGAGCTGTGATCCCTGGACTGCTAAATTCATTTCAGCACCAGATCAGGTAAAAGAACCAATCAGACATCTAAAGATTCATTGCATGGTATATCTTTGCAGTAAGGTTATGTTGGCTTTAGTGGCAGGGGAGATTCTCCAAGTCAGTTCTTCTCAAATGCTGCTCATCCGGGTGTTTTGCACTACATGTCCCAGAAATTCCAGCCGGTTTACCAGCTGTTATTTTTGCCTCAAAACCCCCCAATATCAGGGGTGGTGTTTTGTCCTAAAACATCCCAAACATGTAACATACAAACCAAATTACTTTGTCACAAATCTGCCACAAATGGATAGAAAATCCAGATGTGGTAAACAGAAATATATTGTGTGAAGTGCACTGGATGGAAAAACACAAGATAAGAGAGCAAACACAATATCTCTAGTTGATACTGTCAGAGTTTGTGTCATATGCTGGTATCTTGGAAGGTAAATTGACAAAAAAGCTGAAACCCAGCTGAGGCCCAGGAGAGGGTTAGGAGAGAGTTGTTGTAAGTATCTTGTATCTATTGCAACTGAATGTATAAAGCTTTCCTGTGTTTGGAATGAGCATCTGGAGTCTTGTGTCTTGTGTTCCTGCCACATCTACAAGAAAGCTTCCAGGAATCTGTTAAGGTAGTAGAGAATCCATGACTGATTCATGATATAAGCATTTTATAAAAGAACAACAACAACAAAAACCTAATTATTATGATTATGATTATTTTATTTCTTACTTGCCTCTCATCATGGCTTGAGTTGAGTTACAACATAGCTAAAAACATTACATAAAATCGACCTATTAAAACGTATTTCTATAAATTCAAACATGGAGAGGTATTGAGCTCATCACATGAGTTAAACTACTTCTGACTGTCATCCATAGCCCTCCATTGTTGAAAAGAGGCAGAAATGTCCTGAAAGGAGACAACTCCATCAATCAACCTCATCACATTGAGAGATTTCTTCCTCATAGAACACTTCAGCCTCTTTTCAAGCATGGAGAGGCATGGAGCTCATCACATGTTCCAGCTTGAAAAGAGGCAGAAATGTCCTGAAAGGAGGGAACTTTGAACACAGGCCTTGTGTTTAGAGCTCCTACCTCTTATCACACTTTATGCACATCTTTACAACAGAAAAACAGATGTGATGGGAACCATCAAAGTTTCATGTTCGGTTTCATTACCCAACTGTCAGCAGTCTCTTGTTTCCTCTGAGGTTTGATGCAGATCAATAGGATCCCATGGATAGCAATGATTTTAATGTAGACCACTGCCTCTTGTATCCTATGAGGTTTGGGGCAGAACATTTTTTCTTATGGGAAGATGAAGTTTTAAACTGGTGCCAGTCTCCTTTAATGTAAGGGGCTTTGGACAGGGCAAGGGATCTCTTGGTTTTGGGATATTGTTGTTTCTCCTGATTAAAAACAAAAATATAGTGCTGACCTTTTGATGAATGTAAGGTAAATGTATTGCCAGATTTCCACGTGTGACTGTGACTGTGGGGCAGAACTCAAAATGGGACTGCTGACTATGTAATACGAGTGATTCTCTATCTTAAAGGGACAGTCACCCAAGCTTTTCCATCTCAGTGTGATGAGGTTGTTAGTTGGTTCCAGAGGCAGTTGGTGACACCTATGGGTCTGGATCCAGACATTGACCAACTTGGCCGTTGATTAAGGAGCCTGCCAAACTGGCCCACTACTAAATAACATGAAATAATGTGTGGAGTAAGTGACCTCTTAGGCATGTGTCCCCATGATCTCCTCAACCTCACCATCGCTGGGTGGGGAAGGGTGCACATGAGCATCCCATTGGCTGTCTACACTTCTGCCCTGGTCCCCACCAGTCTGAAGATGCAAAAAATGATTAGCACACAGACAAAATTTGCCTCTGTCTACCCAGCAGTCGGCCACTCGTGAAATATGAAATATTGACAGAATTCAATGTGCAAAAAACAGTGAGTGATGTAGTTGGGAAGGAACAGTCTCAATCATTTTGTGTGCATGAGAAAAGTGTAAGAGTCCTAGCAGAGCAGAATGCTACAAATGGCTATGTTGATTGGAGATATATGGAACTGCAGGGCATTGGAGTCCACACATGTGCCCCTAAACTTCATTCATTTCATTGGTGCAATATTCCTAACCTGCCTTTCTTTCTCCCTTGAAACAGCTAATGCCATATTTTGTTATGATTATCTTTTCCTGGGCCCCAGGACTTCCTGGATTATTTGTTGCTTGTGCCTTCAGTGGAACACTCAGGTCTGTGTCTCATTCAGCTGCTTCTAGTATTTAGGTGTATCTGGGAATGCTCATGTAACTGGAGCAAGGGAAACAGAGCACTACAAAGAAACAAAGAATTGGATGTGCAGATGCAGTTCCCCAAAATGTTGCATATTTTCTCTCATACCTGTCCTCGCAATGAAATGCTGCAGTGCTTTGTGTCTCTTTGTGTGATCCAGTGCAGAGCTTGTGGCATTCTCTGGCAGACAAATATCCCTGTCTCTTTCCAAACCAATTAAAAACTCATTCAGAGAGACTGCATCAGTAAAATATGTGCATGAAGAATAAAGCAGGTGAAGGAGAATTGCAGAAAAAAAGAGAGAAGACATTAACAGAATCTCAGCCAGATAAAATCTTTTCCAATGTCCTGGTGTGTCCCTTCTTCCTCTAATATTAAAGTTGTGCATTGCTGTTCACAAGGTTATCCATAGATCTTAATCTTTAGAGGAAAAGGATATATAAACTTGGGAGAAAGAAAAGTCCATTTAAAAATCCCGTGTCCTTTAATTGTACACGGAGCTACAGCTGTTAATGTGGAGTGGGAATCCTGTAGATCTTTAGATGTTGAGATTGAGTAGTAGACAGAGATAATAGGATTTGAAGTTGAACTACATACAGTACCTCATTAGATGGGCAGTTAGGGAACCAACACACTGTCGGGGTCTATGGTATCCCTTCCCATTATAGTTCCCCACTGTCCCAGACTTCCTCTTTAGCTCCTCTGCCTTTTTCCTTTGAGGAGTCAGGTGTACACAGAGTCCCGCCAGAAGTAGCTCTGCATCATGTGATAGGTTCTGGGGAACTCCATGTTCGCAGCAGAGAGAAGTGGGGAGAAGGCACTTCTCTCCCTGCATGTGTTGAGATCATAAGAGGACAGCAGACTCCCAGTTTCTGTGTTAAATCAATACACCAAGAACTGGATTATTCAAAGAATATTCTTAGATGTGTGTCATAGAATCACAGAATCATAGAGTTGGAAGAGACCTCATAGGCCATCCAGTCCAGCCCCTTGCTAGAAGCAGGAAAACTTGCATTCAAAGCACCCCTGACAGATGGCCATCCATCTGTTTAAAAGCTTCCAAAGAAGGAGCCTCCACTGCACTCTGGGGCAGAGAGTTCCACTGCTGAATGGCTCTCACAGTCAGGAAGTTCTTCCTAATGTTCAGATGGAATCTCCTTTCTTGTAGTTTGAAGCCATTGTTCCACGTCCTAGTCTCCAGGGCAGCAGAAAACAAGCTTGCTCCCTCCTCCCTATCACTTCCTCTCACATGTCCAAGCAGAGGACCAGCTGCAAGAATGAAAACCTTGTGCACCTTTGCTTTCATAGAATTCTTGAACTCTACCCTAACAAAGTGTGAAGGGGGGCTTTGGAAAAAATTGGAATGACATTAACTATAGGAGAAATGATAAGAGTAACTGTTTCAGTGTTGGTAATAGTGATAATCAATATTGATTAAAACTACAATGTGAATTGTTCTGTTGCAGAAAAAAAGGGTTATCAACCTAGCAACACTTGTAGTTTGCATTGATAAATACATTTGAGTCCTTCTGTTGTAAAATAATACTGTTTATGTGCAATGGTAGCTGGTCATTGGGGCAGTGAAGCTGCTTTGAGTTACAGCTCAAATTCTGCTTCAAGATACAACTTTAAACAAACTTTCCAAGGTTCTAAGGTTATATTAGGGTTCCACTAGCTCCCTGACACAGATACTACCAATGTACACCAGTTGTTGGAATTAATGGAATCTTGCCTTGGAGGAAAACAGAGAGCTTGAATGCACCCTCTCTCATATTTAAAATGTATTATGCTATTTTCATTTCTACACTGTGATGATTACTAATTCTTTAGCAAAACAGTCTCTTGAATACTAGTGACAAGCAGTAGATATGGACATAGTGACATTGGGTTTATTACTTTTAATGTGAGGGGTTCAGCATGTTCTTTTAAGAAAATCATGGCAATGGCTAGTTAATATATAGTAATAATCTGAGATGGGAAGACAGGGAGGTGGCTGAAGTTCTCCTTTGAAAAATGTGTGTATACTGGTTACTTGAAAAAAAAAACAAAATGTAAGAACATGATTGGATTGCCTAGAAAATAGCTGGAATCTTTGATATACGTTTTCTTCAGAAGCAATACAATTCCAAGGGAAACAACAGCCAAGTAAACAAGAAAATTGATAATTTTATCACTATGAAGAGGTCACTTCAAAATGTGTTCTTTGTGCTATTGTCAACATGAACTAAAAAGACTTCATTGACCACATTTTGAAACATACAGTAATCAAGATTATGGACAGTACTCTGGCTTCATTTTCTTCTTACAATACATTTTTGTGATTCAGATTACATCCAAATTGGCTCTTAATATGAAAAGTCAAAGGGAGATGGGGCATAATAGAAAATAAATAAATCTGTCCATGCACAGAAACAACCATTTTTGGATTTTGTTTGTTCATATGGAAGTTTTTGTAAATTATAGAAAGTTGGGCAGTTGATCATATACCAACCACAGGGTGTGTTTGGAAGCATTTTGTTCAATCTAAAACCCTTGAAGGGCTTAAAAAGATAACAGACACTTCCTAAATCACAAAGATGGGTGGAATGACTCCAACATGGTCTAGTAATAAACTCAAGAACAGATTAATTGCCACATGAACAGTGGATCAACTACCTACACCAGTACAGCCCTTGTTAGGATGGAGAGAAAGTTCTTATGTTGTGCATGCTTGTATTTACAGTACAGTGGCGGCAAGTATTAATGCTCTGGCGACGGTCACATCTGAAGATTTGGTCAAGTACTTCTTCCCACATCTCTCTGAACGTGTTAGCACCTGGATCAGCAAAGGCTTGTGTAGGTAGAGTAAAGAGATCAGATTCTTCTTAACCCAAAGGCATGCATTGTAACTAAACCTGCTGAGCAAGGTGCTTCCAAATAGATCATTTCTCAAATTTCAAGAGAGTACAAATCTGCCCTCATTTTGAATTGTAATGTTATTAATAATACATTTTAGCAATAACTTATATCAAAGTTGGGCAAATTGTGGCCCATAGGCTGCATGCAGCCTGTGGGGCTGTTTTTTGTAGCCTTCAGAACCTACCAGGGATATTTTCAATCCTCTAGGGGAACAAGGATATTTTTGCTATGTTTTGGAGTATCTCTGGGCCATTTTAAAAAACTAAAAATAAATCAGAAGTTACTTCTACTCTCAGGGGCCTGAAACATGGCAAAAATGCCAACCACGTCCTCAAGAGGGCATTGGAGGCCAATTTTGGGGATATTTTTAAGTGTGTGTGTGTGTGTGTTTTCATGTCAGGACTGACTTGAGAAGCTGCAAGTCGCTTCTGGTTTGAGAGAATTGGCTGTCTGCAAGGATGTTACCCAGGGGATGCCCGGATGTTTTACCATCCTGTGGGAGGCTTCTCTGATGTTCCTGCATGAGAAGCTGGAGCTGGCAGATGGGAGCTCACCCTGCTCCCCAGATTTGAACCACCAGCCTTTTGGTCAGCACCATTGTGGGGATATACCCTTCAAAGTGGATATAGGGAGTGAATATGGTCCCTCAGCCTTCTCAGTTGGCCATTCCAGCCTTATATGAAATACTGTTCACTGACTTAGACGGATCTACTCAGAACTATATAGAAGTTAAAAGAAGCTTACTTTCACATTGCTTTTTTAAAATGGAGAGTGATTCCTTTTCTTTTGATTTGCCTTACCCACTCTCATTTTGGAGCAGTATGCCCGAGAGACTGTGGCAAAGGGCCATAATGTATTAGCTAGTTTTATCAACTTCTGTGCCTAGTTTATTCAAATTATTATGTTCAGTAGTAGAACTGGCTCTTTTAATTACTCTAATGTGAATTAATTACCTATTGAGTCTTGAGATTGAATTCAAACCATCAAAAAACCAAACCCATCAGTCAAAAGTTGCTGGTGCTATGCTAATAAGATGGTTGAACTTTTCTTCTTATATTTAATTTTATATATTCCTCTTTTGTATTGTATTCATGTAATTTGTGCAAATAAGCTCACAAGAAGGGCTGTAGCCTTTTAATACAATACATATTTTGTTTTTAAAAGATTTCATTTTTAACCCCTACTGTTTCAGACAGTCGTTTGGGCTAGATCTCCCTCTACCACATGTGGAGAGCTACTGGTCACAGTTTGATTCAGTCTTAATTGTTAATTTAACTGCATATGTTTGGCATCTCTCAGAACCACCTACCTCTTCTGGGGAATTATGTACAACCCATTTCAGACTGTGGCTCTGCGGCATTTTGAGCTGAAATGCATCCTTTGCAAATATGGGCATACTGCAATCAAACTATTTTTGGAGGGCATTCACTGTTTGAAAATGCTGCTGTAACTCCTTTAGGGACCTCATCAGATGCTCTTTGGGCTCTATTTCCTTTTGCTTAGGAGTTCCACAAAGACCATCAGACAACATAAGGGCACTTCCAGTGGAACTCTATGGGACTCATAGCTCATAGAAACAGACCCTGAAGACTGTTTTGCTAAAGCAAAATGCAGGGGAAATTGGGGAGAAGATGGGAAAAGGCACAGTAAGCGTGTGGGATGGCTGGCTATCTCCGAAGATGGAGAAAAATGGAAGAGAACAGTGTAAGGTGGTTCCCTCTGCTTTCCCCTGCTTTCCCTCGCCTGCCTTATGAGGCTCTAAGACTGACTCTAGGATTTTTTAGACTGCTTTCAGGAATTTTTAAAGATTATTTAATGTGTTTGAAAAATACGTTCATCTTTGTATTTTTTTTTAAATTGATTTTCATTTGTTCATCATCTCAGGAGTTCTTGTGTGCTGAAGCAGAAATACCATTATATATACATACTTTTTCTTCAAGACTGTCAAATGTCAAAGAAAATGCTCAGGGAGGCCTTTTATTTGCTTCTTTTGTATGCTAGCAGTCTTGCTCATATTAAGCATCAACATTTTCCACTACATAGATCTGTTTTTGTTTTTCTAGAAATGTCAGGTAATGTGCATGTACACAGATGCACACTTAAAACTTTCAAGTTTTTTCCACCTCCTAAAAGGCTCACATATGAAGAAGCCAGTAGAGAATCCCAGACAATGGCTTTCCTTTAGCACCGTTGTCAAGGAAGCTGTCCACATAATTTTAATTGCTTGATCATAGCAAATGTATATCTGTCAGATATCATAATTTAGCATTATTGTTTTGGATCCAGACTTTGGCTCCTGGGAATAGTAGAGCTATTTTTCTCTGTGAAATACTTCTGGTTCAATAGGCCAGTTCCACAGCAGAGGTGATTTTCTAAGTTGCCTGACCTCTGTAAATATATTTTGAAGGGTTGGGGAGTGATCTAGAATATCTTAAGAAATGGGTCTGACATCAATTGAAAAAAGAGAGAATTGATGGAAATTGCTCCACTCTTTCCCCTCAACCTGAGAGGAATTCTGTGGAATAGCAACTGCACATTTCCTTTTTGGCTCTTCCACTGATGGAAGAGATGGAAACTTTCAGAGAAAGCATGGCCCCAGGGTGTGTTGGCTGGAGGATTTTTAATCCTTTTCCCATCTTCTCCCCAATTTCCCCAAAAAACCCAATGCTTTTGAATAAAGCTCAAAATTCTCTGAAGAGTAAACTTCTGAAGAAATCCAGACAGAAAATGTTTTCTCTCCATTCTAAAGGCAAAAGTAGTTCCCTCAGCAAAAAATGCTACATTGGATTTTATCCAAAGCTGCTCTTGCTGAGATGAGTAAACTCTGGAACCAAATTACTGTTATCTTTTACTTAACTAAAAACCCAAGGGAATTCTTCTGAATGTTTTAATATATGCTCTTGATAATTCAGTGTGGTTTATCTCTCCTTTTTTCTCATCCCAGGCATAGTATTTGGAGTGATCTGTACTTCAATGGCTGTAGCAGCATCACTCATGGGTGGTGTTGTGCAGGTAACTATGTATTGCAAGATATTTAAAATATCTTAAATAGTCTCAGTACATGGAATCAGTGTACATTTTTGCAGGTTTAACTTTTGCGGATTTGCTTAATATATTTTCTTTAGGATTCTCTAGGTTCTCTATGGTGACTCTATAGTCAGCTTCCACTGGAATGGACTATAAATCTAGGGATTTCAAGAGAGAACATTTCTCTAGGAATGTTCAGGTTCTCCAGCATGATTCTGTGGTCAACTTCTTGAAGTAGAAATTCCTTGGGAAGTGTTCTCTCGAGTTAAAAAACTAGCATTTCCCCGCTATTGTAGAGGCCCTGAATAAACAACCCTCATAAAAGTGGATGCCTTACAGTGTATTTTCCTCCGTAAGAAAGAAGACTTCAGCATCTCTAGTGGAAGGATCTCTTGTGTGTGCAGAGGTTCTCTGACTGAAAATGATGCCAAGAAGCCCTTGGGGGGAATCCTGCAAGCATTTTCTTATTTTATGTGCAATTTTAATTATTTTCTTTATGAAGGATAAAGAGTTCTGCCAATGTTTATTTAACTGGAAAGTTTTTCTTTTGTAATCACTCCCTTACTCCCCATTTTGGAATATATAGGGGTAAAACATAATTGCCTGAGAAAGAAATAGCACTGGAATTTTTTTGTTTAGAAACGGGCTTCACTTCCAGTTATTTCAGTAGGTAAGGGATTGCTTCTGCCATAGAAATAATTGTTCTTGTGAACTGTGCTGCAGAAGATGTGGTTTTTTCATTACCATCTCACAGCTGAGGGATTGAAAGGTGTTTGCTTCAACCATCTCTTCACATGGCCCCTGGGGTCATGCTGTTTTTCTGGCAGTCATGCGGGGTGCCTTGTGGTGCCCTATGCACACTCCCTCCTTCCCACATCACATGGTGGGGATGGGACAAGGCCCTGTTCCCATCAGATGGCTGAAAGGGCAGCAACGCGTTGCCCTTTCCCCCATCAGATGGAGGAAACAGCAAAAAAATTCAGCCCTCCGGGTGTTTTGGGACTTCAACTCCCACCATTTTAGACATCAGCTCAAACCACACTTTCCTCTCTGTCGTAGCAGAGGAAGTGTCTTGCAGTGCTTCCTCATCACTTTGAAAGGAATTGGGGTGGGACGAAGCTAGCATCATTTGATGGTGCTTGGCAGGCCCCATCCAGAAAAGGAAAAAGGGACCATAAAACCCCCAATGTGTTGAGGTCATAGAGCCTGTCAATCTTTATCTAGTTAGAATGTCATAGATTTTTTATTTCTTCCAAATAATTTTTATTAGGAGAGTGGGGGTGAGGGGATAAGGGAAGGAAAAATGGGGGGGGGGGGTAATAGAGTAGTCATTAGTTGCATCTTTACAAATGTCTGTCTCAAAGAGAAAATGAAAAGGGTGAGGGTTGTTGAGGTAGTTCTTTTACAAAATTATCATTGTTACAACTAAGTCTTTGTCTCTATTTCTTTAACACATATTTTTTAACACATATCTTATAAAATATTGAGGTTTCTGACAAGTCCGTTGGTTGTATATTCTTATATCTTTTCACATTGTCTCCTACTCTTCATATACCATATATACTCAAGTATAAGCTGACCCGAATATAAGCCGAGCCACTTAATTTTACTACAAAAACTGGGAAAACGGATTGACTCAAGTCAGGCCCATAGCCAGGATTTTGATTCTGGGAGAGCTGAGTTTGATTCGGGGGGGGGGGGGGCTGGGTCTGAGTGAAAGAGAGTCTACCCTAGCAAACCTTTTGTATCGTTGTCCCACTACGCCCATGCATATGGGATATATTGAGCATGGTGATCAGATCATGATATGAATAAACATAACAGTTTAAATAATGTACCAGTAAGGCCTTCTCACGGACCACCATGATAATTTCGGGGGGGGGGGGGGCTGAAGCCCCTCAAGCCTCGCACCCCCAGCTACATGCCTGACTCAAGTATAAGCCAAGGGTGAGAAATTCAGAAGCTACTGGCACATTTCAAAATGAAAATAGATACCAATAACATTACATTAGTTGAGGCATCAGTAGGTTAAATGTTTTTGAATATTTATATAAAATTGTAATTTAAGATAAGACTGCCCTAACCTTTTTCAATGTAAATGTGTTTATGTATCCTTCCAATAATAATAAAGACAGTAAAATAATAAATGGAATAATAATAGAGTCAAATAATAAATGGAATAATAACAATCATAGAGTAAAATAATAAATTTAATGATAACACTTATAAAATAAATTAATAAATGTAATAATAAAGTAAAATGATAACTATAATAATAATAATAAATAGAGTAAAATAATACATGCAATAATAATAATAATAATAATAATAATAATAATAATAATAATGACAGAGTAAAATAATAAATAACCTTGACTCGAGTATAAAGCGAGAGGGACTTTTTCAGCCTAAAACAAAGGTTGAAAAACTAAGCTTATACTTGAGTATATACAGTATTCTTTTCCAGTTCAATAGAAATTGATCTTAATTTTTCATAACATATTATTTCACATTAAATTCTTTCCTTAAATTATTTATTATTAATATCTATAAAGAAAGTTCTACAATGTTCATTTGGATTGTTAGTAGGTTAGTATATTTATATCATTTTATTATAATGTTTTCTAACTTTCTATATTACATCAAATATATTTTCCATCTACAACTCCTGGGTTCAAAACTCTCTTTAACCATAATCTCTCAGTTTGATAATATTCTTATAGTCCATTTTAAGAACTTTCCCTGATTGCTCCTGATCATAGAACAATAGAGTTGGAAGAGACCTCATGGGCCATCCAGTCCAACCCCTTGCCAAGAAGCAGGAAAATTGCATTCAAAGCACACCCAACAGATGGCCAGCCTCTGTTTAAAAGCTTCCAAAGAAGGAACTTCCACCACACTCTGGGGCAGAAGGCCAGATCTCTCAAACTTCTCTTTCTCAAGGTTTTGTTCCCATCTAGCCTTCTTTTGTATCTCTCTCTCCCTCCCTCTCTTTATATATATACATTCATAAACACATTCCTCTCTCTCCCCCCCCCTCTCCCTCTCCCTCCCCTCTCTCTCCCTCCCCCCTCTCTCTATGTGTGTGTATGTGTGTGTAAGTGCTTCTATAATTCTATATCACTGATATTGTGCATTTTTCTATTATAGTTTCTTAACAATTGGCCCATCAGATAGCATCCATCTCTTAAGTTTTAACATACAAAATATAGAAGATAGTAATATATTATTTATCTTATTTTCATAGACTTATTTTGCTTGGTTTTTCACTCTTTTTAATGCTTTCCACTAATACAATTTTTCCATTAAGCCTTGTTTGTTTATTAAGGACAAAAAACTTAATATAATCATTTCAGCTTTGCTTGTAAATGCAAGCATGATTTGCTACAAATGACATTTAGATCTTAAAAGGCATAAGAATTGAAAGTTAATTTTGATAATATCATTTTAAATATAATTTTATTATTTATTTCTTGTATTTATATAATGCTTGGCACGAAAACTTACTAATAAAATTTGGATATTGGCTCAGTATATTTCAGAAGAGGTGCTGTTTTAGAGCACGCATTCTTACCAGTGTGAAATAGAAAGGGAAGCATCTCTATTACAATGATGCTTCCTATTTGTTGATTCTCTCTTCTTGATACTTATTTAATGGAGGTTTTGCTACTGTAAAGTGTGCTAGAATTATTAAGTGCTGCATCTATAGGGCAGCAACCTCCCCTTCTGGTAATATTCTCAGACAAAAGATAACAACTACCTCTTATTTTAAAATGGTACTTTGAAAGGAGATTATCTTTGCAATCTGTCAAGAAATAGCATATAAAGGAGAAATAAGAACACTGTGTTTTTTGAGATAAGACATTGAAAAGCCATTATATTATACAAAGAGGATGTGAAGACATTTAATGATCATGATAAGCTTCTAGATCTCCTTTGCTTTCTTTTCACAGGCCTCACTTAGCATTCATGGAATGTGCGGGGGACCTATGCTGGGATTATTTACACTGGGAATTGTTTTTCCTTGTACCAACTGGAAAGTAAGTGAAAATAATATTGTTTTCAAAACGGCTCAGCTCATGCATGTTATTTGTGGTTGTTAATGAAATTTCCAGTATTAATATTAATTTTACATTGATGCTAAATGTAAATTTTCTGTTGGTTAGTGTTATTATAATAGTGCCATTATTCTATCTTCAATGAACCCAGGAGCCTGAAATCTATTTGTTAGGTTTAACTAGAGTAGAGCTATTTAATTTATGGATAGTTAATGAGTCAACATTTGGTAAATCTGGTTGGTTCAATGGGCCTACTCCAGGTCAAATTAAGGACACAGATCTTTAAGTCCATTATTGGACCAACCAGTTCAATCACCTGGTCTAACACTATATGGTGAAAAGCTAGACAATATTATGTGTTGCAGAGATGTAACTGAAAATGCTTTAGGCCAGTAACCCTTTACCTAGTTTGTAATGTATGCAATATGATTAGCCATGGAATCCTTTTTATTTCATTTATTTTTCAGGGTGCCTTTGGAGGTCTTCTTACTGGAATAACCTTGGCATTTTGGGTTGGCATTGGAGCCTTTGTGTACCCTGCTCCCTCTTCAAAGTCCTTACCTTTGCACCTTTCAACAGCTGGGTGTATGACCAATAATTCAGAGACTGTTACTACAATGATTCCTACTTTACCTCCTGTCAGGTGTAATTCCCTTTTATTTATCTTTCTCATTCAAATAAAGCTGTTTTTTATCCTATTTATATAGTTCTATAGTTTCTCAGAAGCTGATGTACAATGTACCATGCAACAGCAAACTCTTTCTTCTTAGGTATTAGGCTTGTAAAAATCATTAGCATGTTCAATGACTATATATATATATATATATATGGATTATATATGGACTATACCCGATTTTTGTCATTCTAGGCCTCAATGTACCATGCAACAGCAAAGTCTTTCTTCTCAGGCACTAGGCTTCTAAAAATCATTAGCGTGTTCAGTGACTATATATATATATATGGATTAAATATGGATTATACCCATTTTTTGTCATTCTAGGCCTCATCTGGCAGATACCTGGTATTCTTTGTCATATCTTTACTACAGTGCAGTTGGATGCATTGGATGCATTCTGGCAGGACTTCTGATCAGTTTTGTGACAGGTTAGTTGTTTAATTGTTTAATGATATTTGAGGCCCTGAGCATGGTGTTATTTTATATATTTGTTCTCTGTAATAATAAAGTAGAATATCTGTGCATCTTTCTGTGGCATCTGCAGTTTTGATTGCTGTCTAAATTGCTGTGAAGAGTTTCAAACCAAATTTCTTAATGGAGCAATGGTTCACAAAAGTAGGAAAATTGGAAAGCGTTCACTAAAATATTGCTGGCAAAATTCTTAAGGTAAAGAAATATGTTTGGTAAACTGTTGGTCCCAAGTAGCACTTTTAGGGTCTTCACTATTGACTCAGGCAGAACCAGATACAATTTATCTAGCCTGTAATATTCCACCAGTATAATAATTAGGGACAATGTGCTAAACATGTTGAAATTTGAAAGGTTATTTTTGGTTCTGCTTCTTGCAGTAATGGCTTTCAAGCTGAAATTCAAACTGGGGACAGAGGGATAGATAGGATGGGGGAAAAAGGAAGCCTAGCTGTAAGTCTTCAAGAAATCATGATAGATGCTTTAAACTCTGGCTATTTTGGTCATTATCCAATTTGCAGTTTCACTGTAAAATGTTAATGTTAAACAGCTGAAATGACAAAGGGAGCTTCTTAGAAAAATAGAAGCAAATCAGCCAGAAAAGGGGCTGGGGATCTCAGTCAACATGTTAGCTAAATTGTCTCAAAAATGGGAGTAGCTTTTATTGTTATTTGAATTTGGGTGGCCATTTTCAAATCCTAATTCTTAATGAGAGCTTTGGAGAAGGTAAAAGGAAGACCTGTCACATCTCCTTAGAAAACAACTTGTTATAAGAATTTGAAAACAGGAGCAGATTCCCCTGGGGACAGTGCTCCAGATTTTCAAGGAGCTATCCAGGGTGCTGAAAACGGATGAAGTAGATTTTAATCTTGAATGCTTATGCTCCAAGTTATTTCTCTCAGTGTTAGACTCAGACCCCGTCAATACTGTCAGATAAAGGTGCTACATGATCTGCTTGCTTACTGGTCTGATCTGATGCAGCTATGTCTTTGGATTCTTTGGTAATGAAATGTGAAGAATTTTATCTTTATACATAAAGATATGTATGAACAGAGTTGGGGGGGATTTTTGTATTGTTAATGTTATGCATAACATATGTAACAATCAGCTGTTTTTGTTTTAACTCATGCTTTGCCTAGGTCCAAGTAAAGGAAAAGATATCAAACCAACATTAATTCGCCCAGTCTGTAACATATTTTGCTTCTGGTCTCAAAAATGCAAAATGTTTTGGTGGTGTGGAGTGGATCAAGAGGACAGCAAAGCCCTTCATGTGAGACTTTTCCTCAATAAGAGACTTCAATATGTCTTGCACTTGTTGGCCTGTGAACTCTTTTAAACCTGCACACTATTCCAGTCTGAGAATGTTTTTTGGAAAACAGTTGGCCATACTTCCTAGTGGTAATCCAAAACAGAAATGCTCCCAATTTCCAAACTCTCATTATAAGAATAAATATTTCATAACTTAGTACTATCAGGTGTTCTTGAGAGCTCAGCAATCCTCACATGTTTGCAGATAAAGCCATCAATATAAGAAGCATGTGTTGCTATTAGGAATGGACAGATAATTCTGGGCCTATTCACTCTGAAGCCTATAGAACTATCATTCTATTTCAGTTGTCATGGTTTTATCATATGGAATTCTAGGCTTTTTAATTTTTGAGCCACAAGAATCCTATGGTTGAAAATTCCAAATGCCTCTCCTTCAACTGCTGTAGTTCCATAGGATGGAACCATGGCAACTCAAGTGGAATAAGTGGAGCATAAGAGCATAGTGTGAATGGGCTCAAGGTCACATGTGGATGTTTTTATTCCTATGGCCATTTTGTTCCACTTTAATATGTTTTCCAAGTGATAAATGGAATGGTTTTTGCATTTTCTGCTTTTAAAATAGAAGGTGCACAAAGCCATTCCTCTTAAAACTACATATGAAAATCTAGCCTGGAAAATATTTTCTCATGAAATAGTCATTTCTAAAAGATCAGTCCCATGGGGGGCTGGAAAGATAAAGGTAGATGCTTCCCATAGGAAGAGAGGGAAGACATTTACCTCTTTTAATGTCTTTTTTCAAGAAGGGAAAGAACTACTTCTCTTCATTTTTCCTCATGGGAGAAGAAAAGATACACCAACTTAGGAGTTGGCATAATTTTATTTCTGTTCTCTGGGTATGTTGGGGTACAGGAGAGGGTGGGATCCTGTGGAGTAACAGTTGCTGCTGACACACCTAATTTTTATCATCTCTGAAATCAAGAGTTCAGAGATCAAAGGACGATCTCCTGCAAACCTTTCCACAGAGACATGTAAGAGTATAATGACTCAGATCTTCCTTACTAAGAGAGTGGTGCTCTGCACCACAAAACATCCTTTGAGCGACAACAGGATGTTGTGGTTAAAGAAAGAAAGAATTGTTCAAAATAGCCATAAAGTATGGATTTTTCTGTATGCAAGTTAGTTCACATGATGGGTATGTGAATCCTATTAGTCGCCTATAAGTCAGAGGAGAGCAGGACTGGAATTAGCTCAAAGTTTCCTGCTTCAAACCCTTACACTTGTGCTTCCTTTCTCTTTTCTGTCACCTTCCTTGGGATTGTTTTGTATTTATCAGTGTCTGTAAGTGAGAGGAGTGGGGCATTGTTGAAACACTGATTCTATCAAATGTATAACTTTGTTTTTTTGTCATACTGGCACAAGCTCTGACTGAAATAGAAATCAAAAACTAGTTTTTTTCTTTATATGATTCAGGATAATGTTAGGTCCTTGTGCCAAACCCTATCAGTGGATCTTAGGTCAGGTGATGGATTTCCTCCCTCCCCTTCATCCCCACATAAACAACGAAGTGATATCCTCCTTCTCTCCTTCTTCCCACCACAGTCCTCAGTGCCAGTCAGAACTCTGTTCAGGAGCGTATATCAGATACTGATAGTACACACAAACTGAAAAGCACACAGAGTTATATAGGAAGGGGGAATCTACTTCTAAGATTTGTTAATGGGCTTCTTCTATCAGTGCAAGAACTTGGATGATTCCTGGCCACTGTTGTCAAATATGTTGTCAAATATGCACAGTTCTACTGATAGGGTAAAAAAATCAAGAGAAAAGTTTATTGACAGTTATTCTTTGCTTTTTTAATGTTTATTTCTTTCCTGTTACACCTTGTCTTACCTTCCTTTATCTGTCTCCAGTGGCACCATGTTTTTCTTTTCTACTTCGTGCTTGTATAGTAACTCATTGATCTGTATTCCAGGCTTCTTTACATGTGTAGGTATTTTCTTTTTATTAAAGTAACACAAAGGATAGTAATTAAAGTTATCTGTTCTCTAAATAAGAATGCCAACATAAAGTAGTCCGTGATAACATTCTTATTCATTAGGGGTTCTGTCAGCAGAAATGAAAAACAGCTGCCTTCTTCACTTAATGATTTTTTCTTTGTTGTTTCTCAGGAGGGATCGAGCAATGACCAACTAAAAGATCTCTCAGAAAAGGCGAATGCCACCAATGAGCTCAAGAATGGTTTGAATAATGTAGTTCAGAGTCATCTGCCTGGTTATAACCCATATGAACAATCCTACACTAATCCAAGTGTAGAGAAAGAATCTCAGTTTTAGCATGACTCAAAGATATGCAGTTAACCATAGGAATTGCATAGTATTACCCCAGCTTTGGGGAAAAAATCCACTGGGAATGTAACTAACTGAGGCGATACATATTTATAACTTAATGGAAAGTAATTTTTATTTACTCAACTCATTCCATAACAGAGGCGGTAACCTAAAACTCATAAAAAGCTAATTTTATAAAAAGTCTGCTTTTTTTTTTTAAAAAAAATCTGAATGTCTTGTTCATAGTCTGAGCAGTTTATTAGTCTCCCATTGCTCCTACATTCATCCTTCCTTTGTATCTCCAATTGATAAAGTAAAACCATACTATAGAAGACACTGTTCATTTCCAATTCTACAATGTCTTTCCTTAGTTTTGTAGGTTGCCAAATAAACTCCTTATAGAACAATATGTAATTTGTGAACATATTATTAACCTTCTCCCTCACCAACTCCTTGCCTTATCCCTCTGTTGGTGATTATGGTTTGAAAACATTACTATTGGTTCAAGCTGTTACTGGTGTATATGGGGATGGATGTGTTTGGTTCAGGCTATCCTTTCTTATCAGTCCTTCCTTAACAATGGTGGAGTGATATTGTGAGAAAGCTGGATTCAATGCTAATGGCTTATTGAGATTCTTTTAGAGTCTGGCTCTCCAATTCTCTCAGTCAACTTATACTGCCTATTAGGCTTATGCAATTTGGCTGAACCACGATCCATTTCAGTTATCCAAATTTTGGCAGTCCTGTGGGTCCATTTTTCATGAACTTCTCAAAAATGGCTGCTGTCCTGCAGCCAAAAAATGCAGCAACATCCAACCCATTGTGGCAATGGGGGGCTCTCCTACCTGTCATTTTTTGGGTGATTGAGATGAAAATGGCTACACTTGGAGGACACATCTGCTGCTATTAGCCCACTAAGTTTCATTAGGTTTGGGTCATCCCCTGATTTTTAGGAATTTCTTGGTGGTATTTTACTGGTACAGTTCTTGTGAATACAAATAATAACAACACTAATCTTTTATTCCCTGATGGAGGAAGTTGTAGTTAGAATGGAGAGAGATGATGGGTTCTGTTGACAAAGCTTTATTTTTAGGCAACAGCCAAATTATTATTATTAAATGAAATAAAGAGGGCAGAGAGCACAGAGAGAAATATAAAAAAACAACAGAAAGAACTTGTGATGAGATTGCAAAGGAAAAATTTATTAGGAATTGGTGGTAGGTTTAGGCAGGTAGGTACTAGGTAGGTAGCTTTTCTGAGAATGAGGCTTTGCTGTGAATGAGTGAGCAAGTGGCAATGCAATTTGACTGCAGCAATCAAAGAACCTCTCTCTAGAGCCATGTCGCAACTGTGTAATGGACGCACTCACCCCATTAAATAGACACAGCTTGCATAAGACATGTCACAGCTTTCTTCTATTCTGATTGGCCCAACAGGTAGGGCTCACAGGGAAACCCCATGTGAGCATGCAGCAGCCTCTCTATGCACTGAGTGATTCTGAATAAAAACTGAAGGTAGCTGCAACTGGCAGCTGAATGGTATGTTTTGATCAGAAAAAAGCATAGCAGTGGAGCCCTTGCTATTATGGGTGTCTGAACAAGGCAAAACAGTCAAAGGCAAATGTCTAAAACAAATTCATGCACAAGCCTACTGCCTATCAATTAAATATGAGTTCTGTTCCTGCTGTATAACTGCTTTCTGCAAAGTAGTATTTGCCATGGTATACTGACTTTGTATCAATGTTTCCCACATGGTAATACATTCGGAGCAATATCAAGACACTGACAAAGGATGTTATCCCAACCAGTTCCCCTTTTCCTGGTCCATCAAATGACACATGCAGACTTCTGCTTGTTGGCCTATGATGCTTCTTCAGGGAATTGTTTTAGAAGTGTTAAGAAATTGGAGAGGGGACAGGAGATGGAGAGAAATCATCTTCTGAACTCATAATTTGAGTGGAAATGGGAGAAAGTGGGGAAAAACATGTAGGATGGGATCTGTCAAATTTGTCTGTGTTGAATTGCTTCAGTAGTGTGGAGCAATGGCCATTCCTATGAGTGGTCTCCTATCAAGCATTGACATTTCTTGCCCAAAATCCTGCTTCATGATCCTGACATGGTAATTTTAAAAATTAATTTAATCATTAGAAGTCCTGGAATTTCAAGATATCACAACTTCATTTTTCCTGTCATTTCTTCTTCATAGTAATCTTGGATTTCAAAATTGTGCCGCTGCTAGCTTTATAAGTTTCTAATTTCTGTGATCGAGAGTATTGAAATTTGGAGGAAAGGAGAGGAGCCCAGAGAAGGCGGCGGGGGGGGGGGGGTCTGCCTACTGTCTCCTTGAGAATAGGACACCATTGATAGAAATGGTGTCTGCCTTAAGAACAATGCCTCCTGTCTCCTCAAGAGCAATTAGATTAGAGGGGAAAGTCAAGTATCCCAGAAACTGTGTCCATTTTAAGAACATTGCCTTGGGTAGACTAATGAGATTGGAGGGAAAAGTCAAATATCCCAGAAGTGGTGTCTAAGAATGGTGCCTTGGATCTCCTAAACAGATGGTTGAGGCAGGAGGAGGTGATCCTGTGTGATGGGCATGAGTAAATTATTTGTCCTCCTTTAAGACAGAATCCCACACAAAGAAGATGATTCTATATGCAAGAAGACAATATCCCTGATTTCACCAATTTTCCCCAGCTCCGTCTGATAAAGTCTAAAGTGTGGGGAGGGCCGAATGAAATGGGAGAACCACAGCACAGATTAAAGGTGTTATGAAAACATGTGCACAACATGTGAGCTGTTTTGTAAAATGGCTTGATGCAAGAAGACTGTACATCTTATGTCACTTTCATAAATCTCCACCAGCCCTCACCCTTCTGGCTTCATGCACAGGAAATATTTAAAATGAAAGATGAGAAATCAGAATAACAAATAGTAAACAAATGTTTATTTCTGGAACAAGTGTCCCTTTTGATTGCATCAAGACACCGAGTTGAGTTGGTAATACTTAAGATGTTTTGGACTAGTAATTAACTGTAGTATTTTGAAAGCCAGACTGGAGCTGCTCATGCAGTCTGTTTGAAAGAACATGCATAGACCAAAATTATTGGAGGCTAGATCAAAAATGATCTAAAGCTTCTTCTTCTTTTGCTTGGATGCTAGTTCTGAAGCTCTGCAACTTTGGAGGGTCTACAAATGCAGCTTGCATGCACATACCACTAATATTGGTAATTGTATGGACATACAAGTATTCAGAAATACAAAAAAGATATTTAACCAGCATTCATGTAATACATATTTCCTGAGAACAGAGTGTGCCATATGTCTTTGTAAGATAATTTGCATTCAATGTAACCACAGTAAACCAAACATAGCACAACATTTCTCCCAGCTAAAGCAAATAGCTATATATCAGCAAACTTTTGATGTGAATAATGCATATTCCTTTTTCTTAAAGAAAGGGCACAAGCAAGCATTTTATTTATTTAAAAATGTCATGTGCTTTGGAAGTATGGAAAGTATGTTAATAGAAGCCTGCAAAACTGAAGCCACTAGACTTTCTATGTATTCACTGTGAATCACTAGAAGCATGTGGCTTTAGTATTTTGGCCTGGATTACAACTGTGTATGAATTTTAAAAGAAAGCAGTTTTACAGTTACGGTACAATCCAAAAAAGTACTCAGAAGTATTTCCTATTGAGTTCAATGGGACTTCATTGTGTTGAACCTTCAAGACAACTCAGACTTACTATAGGGCTTTCATGCAAGATATATTCAGAGGAAGTTTCTCATAGCTGTCCTCTAAGGCTGAGAGAGTGTGACTTACCAAGGCTATCCAGTGGGTTTCTGTAGCAGAAGAGGGCTTTGGCCTCTGGTCTCTTAGAGTCTTACTCCCACAATTAAACCACTACATCATATGGTCTCTTTCAAATGGGATTTGCTTTCTGGCAAAAGTTCATAGGATTGCAATCCTAATAGGCGCTAATCCATTATTGACTTTGTTAATAGTGCAATTTTAAGCTTGTTTATTCAAAATAAAGCCCCTATGAATGCAATGGAATTTACTTTCTAGTAAGCATGTTTATGTGGCCATCTTATACAAATTTACCTGCAACCACTTTTAACATTTTAAATGTTGACAAACAAAGCCATAGTGAAATTCTTACATGTTGGCAGCATGCTACATCAGTTCTAAAGCTTGGATCCAGCCAAGGCAAACAGTATTTAGGTAGACAAAACAATAGCAAAACAAAGGTAACAAAGGTTATGCTTTACAGCACACACAGAAAGGGTGTACTTTACAATATATGTTCCTGATCAAAACTCAGTGTGCACTCTCATGCACCCAGAGGTTTTCTGTGTAAGTAGGGTCTTCCATTCATTTCAGTAGAGGGCATCAGCACTGAAGTGCACGTGTGTATGTACACCATTTTTCTCCCCTGAGTGAAATGTACAGGGAAATCATGAGGGAGGGACATGGGGAAATACAAAATAGCTTCAATTTATAGAAACAACCATTGGATAGGAGTGTCTATCCATATGATGTTGAAAGGTAGACTGTCATTATTTAAAACAATTATATGACAGAAATACAATAAGAAAATTTCCACAGAATTAAAATAATGGTATATTCATCATCATTATATCACTTACAGTTCTTCATGAAAACAGAAGTTGTATATTCCCTGCAAGTGCTATAATACCATATCCACAACCCACATTTGTAATCTATAGAATTCATTTCAATGCTCATGCAAATATATATGTTTGATATCATTGCTGTGCTTTTTCAATATAATGATATGAATCTCGGCAAGTCAAAAATGTCTTAAGTTGACTTTGGTTAATATAAATAAGAAAGATTTCAACACCTGAAATTCTTACAAAAAGAAAAGGAGAAACATTTTGGTCTCCTGTGTACAAGTGAATCCCGCACACTTGTCCTTTTAAAAGTTTGATTCTTCTTCTCTTCCCCATTTTGAAAAAAATAGCAATAAAAAAGAATCACAATTAGTAACTAATTACTAGAAGAAAGCATGACTTAAAAGCCATTAAGGCAGGGGTACAAAACATACAGCCTGTGGCCTAAGTGTGGTCTTTAAACTTTCATCTGGAGTTGCCCCATTGGCTTCCAAAATCACAGAAAACCCAGCCACTACAATCATCAACTCCTTAACAGCTCTCCCATTTCTTTCTCTTCTGTGAAGAAATCCTATTCAATGGTCTACTCCATGGTCTTAACGTCCCTTCTTTTTGTCCTGCACATTCCACCAGAAATTGTCAGTAACAGAAGGGTTCAGCCCCCAAAGGATTATGCTATCCCTGCAGCCTGAAGAAAGTGTTGATTTCAGTGTTAAAGAACCATTGTTCTTCACAAAGGCATGTGAGTAGCAAAGTAAAAGTCGCCACAAGACTGTGTAGTTTTCTTTTGAAGGAATTCAAAGAAAAAAAATAACAAGGCATAACTGAACACCACACAACCCATTTCCATGCTTTGATTTGCATGAGGAGGACACTGTTTTAAACAAAGTCCTGAACCTCTGTCTTTATACCCTGAGCAAGCGAGCAAGTCATATTTTAGATTCTACCCAAACAGGATCTTGCACAAAGCAAATAATAAAACTTGCTTCTTATTTGCAATGCAATGAGATATTTCAGCTTCACATTTCTGTGTATGTGAAACACAAAATCCAGGGAGTTCAGAGAGAGAAATAGTAGCCACACAGTTATACTTCTGCATGCTCCACCAGCATGCAGGACAGGACTGCTCAGTTTAGAGGTGCAAAGAGATGGATTCTCTTTGCATATTGAATATCAATAGCAATGGAAAATGTCAGGTTGCTCTTTTCCTCCTCAAAGAGTGCTGCATCAAGAGCAGTGCAATGGTAAAAGCCAGCATCTAAAGGGCTCTAAGCTGGGTGGGAAAATATACCACTTGTGCAGTTCCTATTGTGCAAATGCTGCACAGCCCATAAGCTGCATGGACAGCTGGTTATGTGAAACATGCTTCTGCCTTGGGGTGATATTCTCTGGGTATCCTATACTTTTTCCCTATACAAGATTCTTGCATGAAATCAAGGGTTGCTCTACCTGCAGAAGTCAGCTTCCTCATATTGAACAGGATCTATGGATCCCTTTATTTGATCTCTTTATGAAACTAGTTTTGCTTTGATTTGAGAAAAAACTGTTTTTCTCCCCCTAACTGAGTTATAAAGACAAAGAGACAAAAGGCAATGTGCAAACATCAAACTGCATAGTAAATATCAAACAGGCTTGTTTCCCTTTCAAAGGGCAGAGCCACATCCACAATCTCAGCAAGAGACCAGGACAAACCTGACAAAAACAGGAAGCCTCGAGGACTGTGATATAGCATTAAGTTATGGCCACAAAGGCAACAAATACTCTTGCTTGATTTTTATCCAGAGGCAATATGAATTATTTTGAGCCAGTAAAAGCTGTGTTACATCATTTTTTTTTCAAAATAAAAAAGTCATACCCTTGTAATAGAAGTTGTACGCATAACCATTTTTTAAAATGCTCTGGATGCCCTTCTCAGCTCCTTATTAGATTGGTGTCCAGAAAATTAAGCTCTTCCTGTGATTTTGGCTGAGCCATAATTCATTCCACAATATGTCATTTTTAGCACTAACCATTAATGGTACATATCTGCCTTGTCTGTTGGTAACACAGCTTTTCCAGTTGACAGCAAAGCCTGATAATGATATTTCCCAAGAGCAGCATATACAGAAGATTTGATTCCTTTGTCACTTTTCCAGATCCCACCTTCAGTTTTCACTGGGAGTGCTCAGTTCTGCAATCCCTTTTTGTTTCATATCCATTAAGGCCATTCGTGGTGATACTGTTTCCCATTCTTTTTCCGTTCTCTCTGCAAATGCTCCAGTTCAGCCTCATACATCATTTCCTGAACTAAATATTTCTCTCTTCTCATTCTGTCACACAAGTCTTTGGGCATATCTGGGATTAGGTAGGCAATGAAAGATTTTATTCCAAAAACAAGGTGCTGAAAAAAGAGAGAAAATAACATTTTAAAGTACTTCTTGTAACCTGGATCTTCTTGAATCATGACTGTATAGGGATGTAAGGAACAATCATTAAAGAACCTCAAGATCTGTGTGGATCAAATTCCTTTCATATTAACACAGGCTCACACAGGATAGGAGAAAAAGAACAAGTCATGTATATTTTCTTACTAAGTCTGGGGTCTCTAGCAAGGAACAGGTAACTGGTCAAACGTTTCTAAAGAGAGCAAAGTTAATCAGTTACTTACAGTCAACTTTTTCATACATTTGTGTATTGGATCTCAACACTATTTATCTTTTTAAATTTTTCAATATATATTAAGCTTTGATTAAGTCACATCATGGCAATGTGGATGAGAATATTTAAATAAGGGACAAGGTCTATCACATAATTAATGACGAAAGATTCAGTCATTAGAATATTCAGACTTAAATCATGGAGCCATCTGAATTCCCAACATGAAATAAAAAGACCAGGAACACCATTAATGGGACTCAGATGGTAAGATATGACTCTTGGTTTATTAGCCACTTTGTGAGAACTGTCCCTGGGCCAGGTGTCACTTCCTCTGACCGCCTCCAAGGACCTATGGGCAGTTAAGATCCTGAAGGCTATGGGTGTGTGTTTGCCATGTTACCTACCGGACTATTTCACCTTTACCATGCCTCCAAAAGGAACAGGCATCCACCTAATCCCTTTTTCCCACTAGTCTGGCCCACATGCTTTTTACTCCCTCTTTTATATCATTCACAAACAGAACCTTCCTCTCCTCTGAGAGGTGTACTGTATCGGGCTTACAGAATTCTGGCCATTTGAGTATAATCTCTATATGGGGGATCACCCAGCCCCAAGTTTGCCCCATGGCAGTTCTCAGCTCCCAGTTGACCTTCTGTCTGAATAAATCGATCTTTTTGGGATAACAATCCCCACATCCACCTTTGGGCCAAATTCATCCCTGCTTTTCCTATTAAAAACCCACATTATCCTGAAATATGTGCATTTCAGCTGTACAGTTAAACCTGGCTGCTTGATAGTACAGTTTATGGAAAGACTGTCATCTTAAAATAAAGATTTATTTATTATTTAATGTACACATTATTTATTAATGCATTAAATAATAAATAAATGGCTTCCCATTTATTCTTCTCAGTTTCACTAACCTCAAATACAATAATGAAAGCTAGACGAGCAGCAAGAACATGCCAGAACTGTAATGTGAACTCATAAGGATTTGAACTCCATGGGGGTGCTCTGTAATCTCTATACCTGTAAAAAAGCAAAACAAAAGAATAATGCTTTGGCAATATTTTTTTGGATTCATGCATACAACTTCATTGTCATATATGAGTAACTACTGAAGATCTCATACCAAAGTGGAATGAAGGTAAGTTGTAATATAAGTGAATCAAAAGTGAAAATGAATTATGTATTTCTTTAAGATTGTGTGGTACCACAACAATATGTTTGGTTCTTTCCTTTTTCACGATACACCCTCCTTCTTTCTTTCTTTCTTTCTTTCTGTCTTTCCTTCCTTCCTTCCTTCCTTCCTTCCTTCCTTCCTTCCTTCTTCCTTCCTTCCTTCCTTCTTTCTTTCTTTCTTTCTTTCTTTCTTTCTTTCTTTCTTTCAGATTTTTGTTTTCAGTATCATATTTATACAGTTGATACATAGATTTTCCAGGATTTTAAATCAATTGATGCTTCTATGTGAAATTTTGTGATGGACTGCTTATGGATTTTTGTGATGTGGATAACCGCCTCTTCTTAAGACCCACCCTATCTTAAGCTGAATATGGAAAAAAACAGAATCTTGGTGTTTTGGCCTAACCCCCCCCCCCCCCCCCCAGCCCTTCTTTCATGCCTTCTGCTGTGTTTGCAGGGTTGCCAATGGTTCCTGTTTTAGTTGTCAGGGTCCTAATGATGGATGGCTATTTGTCCCTGTGTCCCCTTATCAGCATGTCATTTCCATCTTTTGAACATTTAGGTTTTGACTGTTAAAACTGCTTGTCCAGGCTCTGGTGATTTTACATCTGGATTATTTTAATAGTTTATTGGCAGGGCTATCTTCTTTTTCTCTTCTTCTTTTGAGTTTATTTCAGAACAGTGCCACCCAGGTTGTTTGAAATCTCCCTACATATTCATATGTCTCTTCTCCACATAGATCTCCTCATTGTGTACCAATCTGGACCAGGACTGTTTCAAACTTTTGGTTCTGGTATTTAAAGTTCTAAGATCCACAGACAAAGGGCTAGCATCTGTTTCACTGATGTGCAAAGCTCTGTCAAGGGGTTGAAGTCCTTCCTCTATGATTTTGTCAGATTAAGCAGATAAATTATGTCTGAAGTTGCTGAGATGGGTAGTGATTGGTGGGGTATTCGTGATTTTATGTACATTTATAAGGCTATGTTTTATTGTCCTTGTCCTTGATGGTATATGTTGATGTTCCACAGGCTGTTATACATCTTTTTTATTTATGGGAAAAGCTTCAGTCTACTTTTTACAAATGCCATTTTTCATTGATTCTAAAACAAATTTCAGTTATTTATTATATTTTCCTTGCTTTGTTGGGCTTTGATGTGTTATTGTGTTAATTGTAAATATTATTTTTAATATATTGTGTTGGTATACCTGTTGTAAGCCATCCTGAGTCCCTTTTCAGGTGAGAAGGATGGCATATAAATGCTCAAAATTGATCAATCAAGCAATAAATTCCTGTTAATGTAAGTAGCTTCAAGACTTAGAGAATTATATCTAGCAATATATGACATAATTAATAAACAAAAATACACAATAATACATAGAAATATGAAAAATAATTACTAGAATTCACTGCAAAGGAAATTTGTTAGAGCAGTTTCAAAACCTTAATCTCAATCCCATATCAAATTTGCAATGTTCAGATTAGTAAGATTTAATAAGATTAAAATTTATTTAAGCATCCAGAAAGTTTTGTGAGGTTCTTCCCAGCTAAAAGGAATAATTTTATTTTTGTATTTATATAAGTTATTTATTTATTTATTTATTTATTTATTTAATACACTTGTATACCGCTAATATCTCAGCCTGGATCGGCGA